CTCTTAGTGATGGTGACGACCCCTGCCTTCTGAAGTGAACTGAATCCTCAATCAAAGCACAGAGGGGTGTTTGACAGTGTGGATTTAATGATGCTCTAAATGGGAGGAAAGGCTTTCAGTCCTTTATGTGCCTGCTGGGTTATTTGATGCCAAAGACCCATCCTGTAATAACACAGTGTGTTATGAGTCAGGAGCCACATATGGAAAGTAAAGACTTTAGGTAAAACTGGTGGGCTGCTAGACAAATGGCCTGGACACTCTGTCATAAAGCCTACTAGAAAGAATATTAAATCAGAGTGTGATTATGCTTTGCTGGAGGAAGATACTATATGGAGAGGCTGCACTGATGATGATAAATACTCTTTGCTTAGGCCATATAATCATGCCCCTCTAATTCCTGACTATTTGCAGCAAATTATTTTTCCAGAGTCTCTCCTCTTTTGGGAATTTTTCACATGCGATAAATTTAATCGAATAATCAACACTGTTTGACGTGCAACAGAAATCTAAGAGCCACTTACCAGAAATCTGTCAAGACCACTATAGTCAAAACAAGGCTGACATTTCTATCTGCGATAATTTGTATCTGGTGGTACGGCCCAGTGCTGGGAGGTGTGAAAGGAGGAGGTGGGTTGAAAAGCAGCTTGCAGATGAGCAGCAACTGTGGGCAGACTGAAGCACTGTAAATTCACTCCTGCATCTAAATCAGATGTTAATTCAGATGTGGCAATCATCTCCATGGCCACAGGTGTATAAAATGCAGACTGCTTCTACAAACATTTTTGAAAGAACGGCTCGCTCTCAGGAGTGGTATTATAATAAGATGCTACCTGTGCAAAAGTCCAGCTTTGAATTTCCTTACTACTAAATTTTCCATGTTCAACTGTTAGTGGTAAGTCGTGATAGAGTGGGGTCAGCAGATCCTGAGGCTTTCTGCAGAGTCATTAGCTACATACAGGTGTTCAATTAAATATGTGTGCACTGCTTCTCATGGACTTTTTATTTTGTTCTCCATTTAAATGATAAAACAACTTGAGAGATGTTGACAGCATTGTAGTGATAATTAACATGTTTACCAAAAATGCTGTATTAACTTTAAAACAATATTTGAGATGCTGCCTTTCTTTGAACAGTCTGGAGTGCAGAAGTGTACTGTGAGGATAATTAACCTTCTTTCTGTTCTCTCACGTCTTTATCTCAGCAAACAGTAAACATTTAACCTCTTTTGAGTTCCCATTCGCTCTAACTTCTTTCATTCTGTCATCACTGTGTCTGGAAATCGCCTGAATGTTATGATACCAGGAGCTGTGCTTTTGGGGGAGTGTTGCATCTGAGTATTACGCTTTTAGTTCTTCGTAAATTTAGAGCTTTTTTTCCTGCTTTAATCCGAGGCTGCATTAGTCTGCCTATAGATTTCCTAGTAGTCTTTATATTTGGGTTGCAGAAATGCAATCCCCTCTCTTTGAGCAAGGCGTTACATTTCTCTCAGCTCCAGGGTTGCTGTTATGCTGCTGACCTCTGACCTGCTTGCAAAAGCAGCTGCAGGGATTAAATTGAGTCTGACAGTTTACATTGGCCTATTATAGTGGGGGTCATTCTATAACCGTAAAGTCCAACATTTAAATCCTACATAACATCCTTTTGCTGTGGAGGGGCGAATGAGCCAAGCACTGAATGTAAAGTGTGATCCAAACGGCCTCACTGAGGGCCAGCTGTGCTCAGCAGACAGCGAGTCCTGACACTTCAGGCTCCATACATCCTCTCTCCCGCCATGTTTTTCACTGGACTTTGCTATTTTGAAATGTTGACTGGTGTAATGGAAGCTAATGGGACAAAACTAAATGTTGACTTAGGGTGAGCTGTGCAGTGGAGCGTTAAAACTGATTAAGCTGATAGGGCTTCTTCGTGTTGGGGAGTGCTCGTTGCAGCACGTTGCTCGTTCAGGGGTTAATGCCGTCATCCATGCGTGAAGGCACAAGTGGGCAGCCCCAAGAAGAGCTGGCTTCTCTTCCGTTTGCCAAGTAGAATTTAGGTTTTCCTCTTTAGGCATCTAATGGAGATAACAGCTTGTTATTCAGAGGGCTACACTTGCACAGCCACAGTTACGTTGCCGCTGATGAGTGCTCATTAAAGCCGTCCCATTGTGCTCTGTCTGCCAGCTACAAATCTTTTCTTTAAAAAAGCTGGCAAAGTGTTGCTAATGTAGCTCATTTTAAAGTATTTTTTTCCTGGGCAGTGTTTTTCCTGAGCATTTATAGTTTCTCACATTTGTCTTAGCAAAAATGTGACATTTTGGGTTATTATATCACCATTATGTTCACAGCACCTTTTCAGGACTTATACATTATGTTTACTGTTTGACATAAGCCAAAAAGACATGAAGTGTCATGATCATACAGAACCCAAGTAAATTAGCTGGATTTCAAAAGCATTAAAAGTCATCTCAGACATTAAAATCAAGTTATGGTTTAGAAACACAGAGAACATCTTGTTCTTATTATTTGTGTCCTTAAATTTTGTTGTTTTGTTTTGCTATCAGTTATGTCAGTCCATGACAACTAATGTCAAAAGTCTGTTTGTATCCATACAGGTACAGTGTACCCAGTGTTAAAAAGGTAAATATATACCCAAGAAGTTAAAAGGTGTTTCTTGGTTTAAATAATTGCAGTTTGAGGAGACAGTCTGTTTGGGGTCTAGTAAACAAACAAGTTAGCATATTGATTTAACTCTTAGACTTGATAAAAAGCATTTGGGCAAAATTCAGGAAGAAGGTTTTAGGTTCAGTCTTTGCTTTGCTGTCTGCTTGTCTGAGGCAGATATGAGAGAAAGAAGATTCAAGGGTTCAGTAAGAACAAGCAAGTATTTTACAAATGCCTCCCTGTTTCAACTTATTAAATAATAATATTTCAAAAAAATAGTCATTCTTTAACTTTATACTAAAAAATGTTGCCAGGAATCAGAAGTGGTCCTTGAATCAAAACCACATGGGTACAAATTAGCACCCATTGTCGAATGGCAATACCTTAGAGTACTGTTTAAGCTGTAGTACCTCTTCATGCCTCTTCTTCATCTGAGACAAAAATGCATGAATAATAAAGATGAAAATTTGACTGTGAGGCCAGATCAGGTTAGTAGTTAGCCCACAAGCTACCAATGGTTTGAGAGTTAAGCCTAACATAATGGTCCCATTTTAATAAACCATAAAATCCCCCATAGTGTTTTAGATTCTCCTGAAGTAAGAGAGTGAATTCATGCAAGTCAGAGTGTGCTTTTCCCCTGAACAATCACAAGCTTTTTCATTTCGTAACCACTGGAAATGATTTCATATTACTGACAGCTTAGTTAGATAGTTCAGATCTGCTTCTTACGTTTATGAGTCTCAGTTAGAAGATAATTTGATATGTGGTTATGTATTTATTTTGTTTTGTTGTTTGAGTTTTACACTTATTTTTATTTATTTTTTCCAAACGTTTAAAGCTGTTACACACACAAAAAAGTTGACCTGGTGTTTCAATCTTTTACTCAAGTCACTGTGATTGCTTTTGCTTTGTATTTGTTTCTTCAAAATATGAAATTAAAGCTCATTGTTAGTTTTTTTCTAACAATGAGCAACAATACTTCTTTCTCTGAAATTTGAGGTTAACTTAGTGTAAGAAAGTCTAAGGAGCTTGGAAAGGAAAAGGAAAAGCGTCTGGTTTTCTTTAAGTTTCCTTGAAGACATTTCACCTCTCATCCGAAAAGCTTCTTCGGTTCAAAAGAGTAATTGGTGGAGAGTTTAAAATCTTTCCCAGACGCCTTACTGCCCACTCACATCCCGGGCCATATGACCTCAGTAAATCACATGATAGGGTGCGGCTAGGTTTCACAATGGGTAACCTGAAACTTTGGCTAGTTGTAACCCACACCTGTTTTCACACTTTAGCCCGTGTGATTAGATAGAGGATCAATAGGGGGTCCATGACCCTCTTGCGGACACTCCCATAGGGCTTCAAATCTGGGACTCTCCACCAATGGCTCTTAGAACTGAAGAAGCTTCTCGGATGAGAGGTGAAACGTCTTCAAGGAAACTTGAAGAAGTCCAGACGCTTTTCTTTCCAAGCGCCTTAGACTCTGATGACCTGGATGACTGAGAACCTTCACAGACTTAGTGTAAGAAAGTATTTATAGTAATTTTATGCAGCTTATCTGCGTGAAGAGCCAACTATGGAAAGTAAAGACTGTAGGTAAAACTGGTGGGCTGCTAGACAAATGTCCTGGACACTCTATCATAAAGCATCCTAGAAATAATATTAAATCAGAGTGTGATTATGCTTTACTGGAGGCGGATACTGTGGAGACTGATCAATATATTATTTTTCAAACTGATACCAACCCTGAAATGCCAATTTATTAGCCTTAAAAAAAAAAAGCACAATCAAATTTCCCTAACACTTAAGTCAAGTGTAGTTACTTTTTTACTTGTTTATGTCTTGTCTGACTTTATTCACGTCATCTGGTTACTTTGTTTGTGGCACTCAAATATTTGTTTGCAAAGTGCCCTCTGGTGGACAAGATATGCAGCATCAACACTCATGGCTGAGCGTTGTTTCTCTCTTCTCTATAAATCATTCTTAACGTCGTTACCGATAGATCAGCGAGTTGTTAATATTGGCTGAAAAAATTGACGCAACAATAAATTTGCTGGGCTCTATCTCTGTCAAGTCGCGTACTGTGGTCATGTCAAATATGTAAATGTTCTGCTTTGTATAAGGCAAGGGGTTCCCAGATTACGTAAAATGCTGTAAAGGAGATTATTTAAAAAGTAGTAGTGTCTTAGCAGATTTGTTTTGTTTACAAAACTATCACTAGATCACCAAGAGACATCTGTATCATTCTTGTTTTACCTTCAGAGGCATCCCCCAGTCCTGTTAAGACCTCCCCAGAAGCATCTCCTATGACCTCCCCACGACAGCGCCGTGACTCAGACCGCTACTGCCAGCTATGCAACGCCTGGTTCAACAACCCTGGCATGGCTCAGCAACATTATGATGGCAAAAAGCACAAGAAGAACGCTGCCAGAGCAGATCTCCTGGAGCAGCTGGGAAAGACCCTGGACATGGGAGTGATGAAAGGTAATATGAATACATTTTCAGTACATCAGTTCATTTTTAAACTATGTTCATACATTTGTGAAGGTGCATTATCAGATACAGTTTATAAACGAAGTTCAAAAAAAGTTTTCCAGCCTTTTTAAGGGTAAAAAATTCTTATACTGAATACTGTACAATCTTATTGTACAGTATATACAGTATATACAGTTCTAATTTCTTTTGAGGTGACACATACCACCACTCACAATAAAAAAAATCACAATGAAATAACTGTAAGCCAATAGCAGAGTTGCATTACTGTGAAAGGTAATTTCACAATTTGCATTATTGCATTATCAAACAATATAACTATGTATCAGCCGATAGCAAGTCAGCACATTTAGCCATTTAGTTCAAACTGAGCCTCTGAATAGCGATGACAGGGACTGGCTTTGGCTGTGGTGCCAGATCAGCCTGCCTTACAATTTCAAAAACTGCTGGGGTTTCCCTGCATAACCATGTGAAGACTAAGGGGACAGAAAATATCCAGTAATCAGCAGGTCTCTGGCTGAAAATGGCTTTTTGATGCCACAGATCAGAAAGACAAGACTAAGTCAAATAATCACAACCAAAGTAAGCAGAAGAGCATCTTCGAACGCACAGCCTAACAAAGCTTGAACTAGAACTGCTACAGCAGCAGAACAACAATTCCAGCTTTCAGTCCTATCTGTGAAGGGAATAGAAGATTGAGAAAACTTAGCCTAGTTTGATGAAATCTTTAGTTTTGCTGTGAAATTTGGATGGTAGGGTCAAAATTAAATGTAAAAAGCATGAAAACAATGACCCATCCAGCTTTGTATCAAAGGTTCAGGCTGCTGGTGGTGGGTGCGCAGTGTTGTGGGGCATATTTTCTTATCATGGTTTGTGCCCCTCAATACCAGCTAAGCACCATCTAAATACCACGGCCTATGTAAGCATTGGTGCTGCCCACATCCATCTTTTATCACCACAGTGAACTCATCTTCCTATGACTGAATCCAGCATGTCATAAAGCTCAAACTGGTTTCTTGGACGTGTATTTCACTGCAAAATAAATGACTTCACTAAGATCTGGTGACTGATCTCAATTCGATAGAACACCTTTGTGATACGGTGAAACAGGAGATTGTGCCATATTGACTGTCATGTCAATACGTACCATAGTTTCTGAGGAATTTTTTCAGCACCTTCTTAAATCTGTGCCACAAAGACTTTTGGTAGTTATGAAAGCAAAAATGGGATCCAACTAGGTAGGGATAAGTAATGTCTCGTTTAACGCTGCAGGTAATAAATGTGACTTGCATAGCTTAATATTGATGAGCAACAGAGAGCAGTATTACATTTGTTAATAGCTGTGACTATTTCTAAGCCCTGCTCTGTGGAGCTGAAAAGTAACCCTCTTGACTTCAGCTGTCAGCTTGACTCTTCATGGAGCCCACCAGCATGTCACAAGCTGTTAATTTTACAGAGGAGGAGGGGAGAACTTTCTTGCTTATCATTTCCCAGTTACAATATGTCAATAACAATTACATAATATTATTCCAGCTGGCAGAGTGCTGGCTGCCAGAAGAGCACACGGAGCCCAGAGGTGTTGTAAAGGGCAGCAGAGTGTGACTGCACCAAATGGGAGAAACAAGTCTTCACAGCTGATTGGCCATGGACCTTCTAACTCAGAGCCTGATTGGCTACTTTTGCTAGTTGAGGGCAAACTGGTTGGTTCTGCTTTGTTCAGCTTTGTTATGCTGCCCAAGCTTTTGAGTCCACGATGTTTGTTTCAGGAACATTATACATGGTGTGTTTGACTGCCGATGTTTGCAACTTCAGTTACCAGTACCGCATTTAAACCTATAAACAGGGACATAAATACACTTATGATTCAAAGAAGAAATTCACCATTGTTTTGGACAATAAGCAGATAATAACAGTATTAACATAGATATTGTGCTGTAATGTGTGTTGGTGGGGATGGTGGTTCTGTACTCTGTGGGTTACATTTTGGCTTGGGGGAGATTGGGCCATATTAAAATTAGTAGGTTTACAGTTTATTTTGAGAATCTTTTACCAGGTGACATTGAATGGTGACCACTGGCTGGGAGAGTGGCTAAGGGGGTAGAGCAGGTCATCTACTTATCAGAAGGCTGGTGGTTTGATCCCTTGCTGCTCCAGTCTGCATGCTACGATATCCTTTGGCAAGATACTACCCCATTGTGTTCACTGGAGTGTGAAATTTAGAAAGTGCTTGTATGAATGGGTGAATGAGACATGCTGTATAAAGTGCTTGAGTGGATATATCAGTATGTATATAAGAACCTGTGCATTAAGGATACATAAGTTAAACTGACTGGTTTCAGACTACGAATATACTAAGAGGCTGCATAAAGAGTAGGGCTGAACGATTATGGAAAATAATCTAATTGCGATTTTTTTGCCCCAATATTGCGATTGCGATGCGATATGCGATTATTTTTTAAGGTCTTTGTCTTCTGTATTATTAAACAAAGACAAGCAATACATCATATAGTATGGCCAATACTATATTACATTAATTTTAAACTGTTCTTTCCTGGAAGACAGACCTCTGTTATGATGACATGAGGTGATGCATGAATTGATGACTGACATTTTTATTTAACTTCTTCAATCACAACAGTATATTTGAACATACACAATAGTTTATTTTTAGCTTACAAACATCTGAGCATAAAGTGCTGACAAGGAACCCTGGTGTAAACATTAAAATGAAAGTCAGTACAATGTGCAGATTGCAGAAATATACATAAAAAAAAATCAGTGGCTTTACCACACTCAGTTTTTCGACATCTGTGAACTACTAGACAGTCATTCAATTAAAAAATAATATTAAATAAATAAAACTAATAAATAAAAAATACACACATCTTACTGATCTCTGCAGTCAGTAACATTACACATAAAGTGCAAACATAATAGCAATTGTATAAACACACACACAAACACGCCTTTAAAGTTTAAAGGCGTGAAATTGGACGGTCTAGCCTTCTGATAGCTAATCAGAAGGCTAGTTCTGATTAGCGTCACCGCTGTCTCGGTGGAGTTTAATAAACTCGGCCGTCTGCTTCTTGCTATCTAAAATATAACCAGACACTGGTGTAAATTCTCGACTGTCTCATACTTCTGTTTAATAAGTTTTCTGTTTGACGTTTAGTCAGCTGTGTGAAAACCAAGGAGGAACCCACCCGGGGGATTAATAAAGTTTTATTTTATCTAATCTAATAACTTTAATCTCAGCCAAACCGATTTACTCACGAACAAACAAAACACTGAAAAAAGCCCAACAATAACATTTTTAGGTTGTCTAAGTGACTTATATATCACGTTTAACCCGAGCAGCGAAACTCCGCGGTGATCTGAAAATGATGTGCCGGGAGTTGTGCCGTTCTCGGCCGCATCAGTAACCCTCGAGCTCCCGGCTAGCTGTCGAGCTGGTGGGTAGCAGACACCTCTGAAAACGTCGAAGCACTTTTGCAAATATGGGATATCTTGATAAACCGAGCAGATATTTGATGTTTACACAACTACTTTCTCGCCTGAAAATATTTTAAAAGTTTATTTTGTGACCCAGAAAGATTAGTATGAGTAATTTTAAAACTTAGTAGCGGCCGCCATTGCTGGAAACTGGAGTTTGGCTGGGCCGCGCTATGAATTCTGGGATATGGTAGTAATTTGGACAGCCTTCGGCGCGTCGCTGTGACGTAATCGGTCTACAAATGCGGCCTCAGGAGGATGCAGCCCATGAATTTGGACATGTCCAGAGTATAATCGCAGCCTTTGCGGTTAGAAAATTGCACTTGATCATGTCGCGATATTATCGCAAATGCGATATATCGTTCAGCCCTAATAAAGAGTCAGTATAAGACAAAGGTGAACTTTATTAACTCTACAGGGGAGACACAGAATAAATAAAGGGCTGGAACTTAGCATTTTTAGCTCTTTTCTAAATAAGTATTTTTGGTATACAAAGAGATGTTTTCACACCTTTGTATAAATTGGTGAGGTTCAAATCAGGAGATTATGGCAGTCAATTCGAACATTCATGCCAGTTTTTAAGGAGGATCATTGTCCTCCTGTAGAACTTTTTCTCAGTTCCAGGTCTCAACGAATTGCCTGAAGTCTACGTCCAGAATTTGATTATTTTTAGCCAGATCCACTCTTCCCTCTATCTATTGTTATGTTACTTGAACTATTGGCTGCCACTCAACTCCAAAGCAGAATATTTATGCTACTCTGCTTAACAGCTAGCAAGATTTTCATTTCTGCTCCTGAATTTCTCAAACACATGGCTCGGAAAGTGTGACCAATGAGCTCAGTGTGATTTTTTTGTTGTAATCTTACTTTAAGTCATTTGTAGACTTTCATGATTCCAATGAATCGTTCATGTAGGCTGTGTTTGCGCATCAGTGCTAGGTTAAATGCTGCACAGTTAAATGCTGCATCTTGTGTGTCAGCTAAATGTTTCTACAAAACTTGTTTGAAGTTTGACAGATAATGGCAGAAGAAGCTAATGAATAAAATATGATAGAAGGTACTTTTTAGAGTTATCAAAAATCATTATTGGCCTATATTGGGCCTATTAACTGATATATGCATGTCTTGTGGCAGATTGCTGACCCTTCTTTAGCCTGGTCTGTTGGAGGTATCTTCCTGTTAGAAGAGAGTTTTTCCTTCCCACTGTTGCCAAATACTTGCTCAAAAGGTGTTTCTGATTGTCCCAACATACCCAAGAAACATGTCCTGGCTCTGCCCCTGTGTCTCCTTCCATTAGGAAATGTCAAAACCAACTCTTCTAGGAGGTATACAGGATGTATCCTAGTCAGATGGCTGAAAGATTATCTCCCTACTCTCACCCCCAACCAGTTGTGGCTGATAGTTGCACTTTGAGACAACTTGTGATTTTTCATTTATGTAAATAAAATTGAATTAAACTAAATCAAATTGAATTGACCAATAATCTTGTGCTGGGAAAAAGTGCAGTGAAGAGTTGGAAGGAGAGATATTTTTTGTTGCAAGATTCCTTTGTTTCCTTTACACGGGGTGTGAAATAAAGCATCAGCATTGGTTACTGGCCATTTTTGAAACAATGTTTCAGTCCAAAGTTTTGCATCACAGGGTGTTTGAAAAGTATGACTAAGGTTTCTAAAGCGACTGAAAAGGAAAGATTTCTAAATGAAGACGTAGTTTGTTAACGGGTTCAGTGTTTTGCAAGTGAATCAAAGAATGCACTGCTTCCACAATCCTCTTATAACAAGTGTTGATCTCAATGAATAATTCATTAGAGATTTGCATGTAAAAATGAAAAACAGTTTAATCCCTTTATATCTTTACCTTCATCTGTTCTGCAGGGCGCCTGTTTTTACAGTGCATTAAGAGGAGATGAATTTGCCGGCTTCAACAGAGTCATTATGGAGCGACAGAAAATGTCAGCACACTAGCTGTACTATTCAGCACTTGGAATAATGAGCATTACTCTCTGGCGATTATCAATTAGTAATGAAGTGGCAAATTGTCCTATCAGGCAAAACCAGCAGTGTGAGCCCACAGAGAGGAGAATGGGACCGCAGCAGGCCTTGCAGGCGGTCGGGATGCTGCTGCTTCTTTCTGCTTCCTCTCTGCATTTTATCCTTTCATCTTTCCCCCTTTTTTCCTCCCCTCTACCTGACCTTGTGCACTTCTCAACCTGTTAAGAAAATGTGGAGTCTGACTCTGAAGATTGTCCTGTGATGAAATATTCAAAAGCTCTAATAAAATGGGAGGGAGCATCAACCAGTGGTCTTGTTTGTTGTTGTTGTTGTGTGTACAGAGCTGTGCAGCATTGAAAAGCTGATGGCAAAGACATAAGGTTGAAGATGGATAAAGAGATGGGCAAGCCATTAGCACTTTTAGCACAAGTGTAGAGACCCTCCAGATGTGTCTAACCTCATGATAAAAGCCTTTGTTTTATAAGTGGTGTACATACAAAAGAGTGCAGGTTAACCGCATGAGCATAGTGTAAAACCGAGGTCCCTGCTCACCTGTCCTCTTTGGCTTAGTTGATTTAAGTTGTTTTGGTAAAACTCCATCTTTGCGCTCTAATAGTCTACTTGATCCTCTGGTCTTTTGTCTGGTGCTCATTCTGTTCAAAGCTAACAGGGAGTAGTATTGAGATGGTGATATAACTGTGAGGACTGTAATGTTTGCATAAATGTAAATGGGATGGAAAATGAATTTGTGGTTGATAGTCCATTAAGACACTAATGGGAACAGATTGTGTAAGCACTTTTGCCCAGTTATCGCTGCAGCAAGTTTAAAACAGATGATCTCTTTTTTCCAGGTTTGTTTTCTTCTTCTTTTTTTATTAAAGTAAAGATGTGTTGGATTTTATCTCAGAAATAGCTAAACTTGTATTTGTGGTGAACTTTCTTATTCGTGCTGAACTCTCCCCATTCCAGCACTGCTGCTCAGGAATCATGTGTTTACTCTTGTCAGTGTTTACAGACTGTGCCTGTAACTGTGTGGAAATCTATCCATCCATGTTCATGACTGGTTATCCAAGCCACAGTTTCGGGAAATCACTTTCTCAGCTGTCATAAGGTGAGAGGCAGGGTACACTGAGGGCAGGCCGTCAGTCTAGCTTAATGTTTCAGTTTAAATATAGATTAGATAAATTAAAAAAATAAAATCTTTCAAAAATGCCCCCTTTTATGACTTTTACATCAGAACACATCAAATCAACAGATGACTGCTTTTAAGCTTTCTTTTACTTTCTTGTACTGGCACATAATGGACTTCATGAGAGAGACTGAAATAACACACATGCTATAGACTCCTTTGTTGTCCCACATTCAGTGTTCATAGAGTGGCTAAACGAAACATGAGCTGCATCCCAGGTTTAGTGACTCACAACCAGACAATGTGACACAGCAAACAGCTTGGTTCATCTGACCACCAGCCAGCAGTTCATGTAACTATCTAAGTGCCTGCCAAATGCTTTTTATAGTACTCATAAGACACCTGCTGTCACAGAGATGTGAGCATCAGCAAAGGTAGAAGTCACGGTAAGTGGTAAAGCTCTGTTATATGAGATAAGCATCACCTTTGCGTTGAAGTGGCGTTATACAAGTTTGATCTAATTTAGAACCATTTGCCATCATCATCACAGAGTTGTAAACACTGCCTGCGTGCTGTCATTTTTCTTTATTTATCATGCCCATTTGGGCAATGTACTTTAGCTAATGTGATTTCCAACACCAGCAGACATAAGATACAGTTTGTAATCATCTTGTGCCATGTCAGAGAGAAAAAATATTATAAATGTAATAATGGAATCGATGAAGGACGATGCACAGGAGCTAAAAAAAAGGATGAACTACTGCACCACTGTGATCTGTGATTTCCATCTCAGTAGGTTTTCAGCTTTCATATGAGATGAATGATGAATTTGTCCTATCAGTACTGGATATGCAGTAATTGTTCTCATTATTTGTTCAATAAAAATGTTTTGAGACTAAAAAAATGTAATACAAATGTTTTTAAAAAATCTTCGTGGTTTAAATTTGGTGATCTCCCTCTTCTTGTGTAACCCAGATCTGTTTTCTGGGCGGCTGCTATATTTATTCTAGTTTGTCCCTTTGTCCCACTTTTTCCCAATGCCTGTTGGATTTCTTCCTGTGCATCAACAAGCAAAACTTCATCTTTATTTTTATGTTTGCGGAAGTGAACAATGAGTGGTCAGAGTCCCATCATAATCAGTTCCATTTTTGGCAGTGGAGGTTTAGCAGTCCTCAAAGAGTCGTGCTGTACAACGTTATGGCAGTGCTCTTATAAAACATCAGATCTATTATTCTCCAGTCTCACAGTTTTTTAAATAAGTAAAATGATACTTAAGTAAACTTCAGAATGCATTTTCTAAAGAAAATGCAGTGTGAGCGCTGCTAGCCGAATGGTTTGAGTTCAATTTTTATAATTGCTGAATCTTTGTTGAAAAAAATGTTTAATAAGCTAAAATACACCAAATCATTGACCTGAAAGCCGGAGTGCAGAACTGTTGAAAGCTGAAGTTTACACAGAAGTTGGAATGTAGTGTGTGTGTGTGTGTGTGTGTGTGTGTGTGTGTGTGTGTGTGTGTGTGTGTGTGTGTGTGTGTGTGTGTGTGTCCTTATCAGCGAGTGAGTGACATACAGAGAAAGAGGGGAACTGGCATCAAATTAGGAGGTAAAATAGTTTTAAATCTTTAACTGTTTTGTGCGTCTTATTTTAGACTTTATGTTAGTGGGGAGAAAAGCTATACAGACTAAAAACAGAGACATTAAATGAGGTTAGACGACTTGATATGTGGGAGAATCCACTAGAATCCACAGGCAGGCACATAGTTTCAGTTCTAATGATCCAGTCACAAAATATGATTCCTAATGTCATCAACTGACTCCAACTACCCAGATTTGAACCGCCTGTCTGCTGAAGACAAATCCACCCATGAAAATTTGGCCGCAAGTTAATGTGCCAATCAGAACGCTCTATCATTCCCATAGATTTAAATTCACCAACTGAAAGTAACTGCCAATAGCTTTCAGTTGGACTGAAGTAAATACTGACATACTGTTACACATACTGTTACACAAAGGTACTCCCTGTACCTGGATCCACACAGTTGAATATTTTAAAAACTAAAGTTAGAAATGAGAAAAATACAAGCTCACATGTCCAAAAGAATCTAATACGTTGAACAGTGTTGAAGGAAGCTGACGAAAAAATATAATGAATGTACTCAACACTTAATCAGCGTTTACACTAATAAACTTCGGTCTTTTTATCCAGAGCCAATTTCCTGGGCTGAATATTCTTACATGTTTGGTCGCCCATCCTATGTCCCTTTTAGTCCAGGAGAATCCCTGTATGTAAGTCAGTCGTGCTATTTGATAAGGACACAAGATGAAGTGTTTGTTTCAACATCATTTCCAAGAAATATTATTTGGAGTTATTATCACTGCCTGATAACACACACATAGCTGACCAAATACTCTAATCTTTGTTTTACCTGACCAGCTGCCTTTGCTTCTCAAGGTTTAAGAGTCCATCAGAACATTTACCTTTTTCTAAAAGGCTGTCATGTACCTTTTAGTAAAAAGTAGCTTCCATCTACCCACTTTACCATAAAGCCCTTTAGCAGAGTGTTTGACCGATGGTTGTCCTTCCTAAAGTCTCTCCTGTCACCACAAAGGACTCAAAGCTCTCATTTACAGTATAAACGATGCACCACGACTCAGCTGCAAGTGCCACTACAAAGGATCTCAGTGCTTTTGAAATGAAATGCTTCAACAACATTTCTTTTTACATGAAAAAATGAGAACTCTTTAAATAAAAATGGGAAACTTTAAACGTCATTTTTATATAAATAAACTGTTTGCTCACCCTTTTATGTAGCATGAATCACAATGTTTCTTTCCTTTTTTGAGTGTAGCTGACAGCGTGAGAAGATGAATAATAGTAGCAGGAAGACAGCAGAACTCACTTTAAGTCCATGCTGTGCCACAGCTGGTGTTTGCACTCCTATCACTTACCATGTCTCTGAAGAACAGTCCTCGCGTCTGCTCTGCCTCTGTTGAGTATCTTGTTTGAACCGGCCCTAAAGATGATTTCAGGCGGAGCAGCCCATATTCACTAAGTGCTTTTCATATTGTGGCTGCTTCTCTGAAGTGTGGGGGAGAAAGCTGCTCACATGGAGAGAAGCAGACTGCGTTTGTGTTAAGAGCAGTTGAAAGAGAAGTGGAAAGTAGACTGCAGAAATATTCGAATTTACCTGTTTTTATCTTTTTTTTGTTGCACACCAGCTTTCAGATGCTACGTCTTTAACACCGAGTGATGTCATCTCTTCCAAACCTTATTGGCTGTGAAAATAAGCTGCTCTTAAGTCTGCATGGAAACATTTGAACCCCCCCCACCCCACCTCATTTCAATCCCTCTCCTTGCTTTTCAGTCAACTACATCCTTTTTTCAGAATAAAATGGCAGCTAGTGAAGTGGCCACTCTCCCAAAGCATGTTATTACCTAACTGTCACACAGTCAGACTGTGTGTCGAAGCTAAGAAATCACACTAAGGTTTGACAGGTACGTGGTTGGAACCATCATCCTCATTTTAATACTTCTATGGCACACTGATGAGCAGGTACGAGAAAAGTTTATGGAGCTTAGCGTGAGTAATTCTGTACTAAGAGAACGTGATTAATCCTTAAGTACTCCACTGTGTACTCTGGGCAGTGATGTATTGTTCTTTCTAAGCACAGTTGGAGACTCAGTTTGTAGACAAATCTAAGAGTGACTTTAAAACACAGTTAATATTAAATGTAGGCGATAATATAACATTTACATTCTAAAGAGGTAGTGCTTAGTAAAGCAGTACAGCACACAATTATTTAATTAAAGAGGACCTAATATGATTGGTTTTATTGTTTGTTCTATTACTGCTGTTCAGTGTATACAGAAGTGTTTGCTCTGAGCCAATAGAACTCAGTTCTTTGCCATTTTTCTACTCTTGGGTGTGTATGATGGCAGAAGAAGGGCTTAACCTCTCCAAGGTCATCTTAGGTATGCAGCTGTGACTGTAACAGCTCCACCCATTTACTCTTAAAATCTTTTGTTTTGAGGGGCAGCCAATAAGAAGGCATTTGCCGTTAAGGCAACGAAAGCAGCTTGTTTCAGACAAATAAAGAAGTGAGGGGCTGTACCAGAACCAGCACGAGCTAAATGAGGATTAATTTGGACTGTGAATCATGCAAAGCTAGAACAGGTCATCTAATAATCGGAGGTTGGTGGTTCGATTTCTGGCTGCTTCAGTGTGCATGCCAAACATCACATCCTCCGTCTTAACCTTTTATCTTTTTCGGTAATGCTACAGTCTACAAACCATACACCCAACTTTCACTAGTATCTTGTAAACCTTCCCATTCACTTTTGCAGCTATCCTTCTATGATAATTGTCTTCACCCACTCCACCCTGCTTGCACTCTCTTCTTCACCTCTCTAACCTCTCTTTCTCTCTCTCTCTGTCTGCTTTGGACTGTTGATGTTTAAATGTATCTACCTTCACTATCTCTATTGTTTGCATATCCACCTTTCCACCTGTCTCCTTCTCCTTCACATACATATTCTGTCTTGCTTGTACTGACTTTAATTCATCTTCTCTAAAATTATATTCTATTATTTTTTTCATCGCTCAAAATAAGCGTCACAGCCGGTGTACCCACCGAAACGCCGTGCATTTATCGAGACTTTCAACCCCAGGTAGGCCAATTATGGATCTTCGGATCCACATTATATCAGCAGCTGTTCTCCACCGTGAACTATGTTAAAAACAAACATCTCACGCCTCACAGATGACAGCTTACAGTCCTGCGTAAAGATGAAAGTTCAGGAGCAGAAGTCCCATTGTAAACGTACCACAGCAGACCCGACGATGTTTCCATGAACATGCTTTTCAGCATCTCTTTATTGACCACTTTTCACACGGTTGCTGTACGCACACAGCCGGCTGTAGCTTTTCAGCTCACCACCCAACACATACCAACAACAACACAACAGCATAGATAGCACACAGACGTTAAGGCGGCAAGGCGTGATTGCGGGCGCCGCTCGGGCGCGTCCACCTCCCCTGCAGTGGCGCTGCAGACCACGCCCCGCCACGCACATTAACCAGGTAAAATACATATTTAGGCAGAATTTTGCAAATATCTATTTTTCATTTTTTAGCAGCATAGTGCTTTTTTTCCAATTATTTTTTAAAAGTCAGGTCAAGGCTCCAAAAGCCCAAAGGCAATATCAGGGTGGCGGTCTTAAAGGTTGCTGACCCCTCACCTAGACAAACAGTCCTTTCCTCTTCCTTAGTGTTCAGTATTGCATACAACTCGTAATAACAGTAAGCTTGAAAATAAGAAAGAAAATTGCGTTTAAAAAAGTAATGAATGATCAAGATGAGAATTGTTTCAACCTGGCCATGAAACCAACATTCATAAATGTGTTTCTGCAACCTGTTGTCAGTTTTGTTCTCATAGGTCAAGTAAGGGCCGTCTCTGTCTTTGCCATCTTAATGGTCCCTCTCAGTGTATTTTGATGTTGTCAAATCTCAACCAGAAACCACTAAATTTAGACCACAGGCTAGCTAGCCTGTCAACACCCAGCAGACAAATTGTGTTGGGTCAGACTATCACAGCTGTTAATCAGGGATGCTTCTCTGGAAGATATAATTTAGCATGTGGTCTCCTCATTCTCTCACTTTTTAGCTCTTTTTCAACAGAGGCTTGCAGTCACTGTTCTCAAGCTGTTGCTTTCAGCTGTATGTTGTATTCTCCACTCTTGTATTCCCCAGCCTAAAATAGATCCATTATACTGTTAACAACAGGCTCAGAGACGGGGAAATTACACCAAGCTGATCTAGGTCCTTTTCAACAAAGTGTAATGCTGAACCCTAATTTAAAACTCTAGATTGGACGAGTTCTCCTCAAGATATTACGCCTCTTCTTACCCCACATTTTTGAACCGTCCAATTTAAGAAACTTTCAGTCAGTGCTTCGGTGGGATGAAAACATTTTTGAGTAATGATTTTATTCTGTCAGTTTTGCAAAGCAATTCATTATACTAAATCTCACAGTTGCAACTTAGCACCCAATTGATTTCATAGAAACAGTGATTAAGTGTATGCTCTTTCAGCCTGGGCTCAATGCTACAGTGAGGGAGAGAATGAGCTAAAGTTACCAGATCTGAGTGGGGCAGATGCTTGCTGGTTAATTTAGCATGAATCCTGGACCAGTACCACCTTTTTCTTTGCTTATAAACAATCGACAAAGAATGTTGCACTGCTGATCAGTCATACTGTCAACAGTATCTCTTCCAAAGCTTCAGGCAATAGGTCTCAATAAGCTAAGAGAAAGCAAAAGATTCACTGCAAAACAAATTGATCTTGCCCAGGTTCAGAATCTGTTTGAGTGGTGCAAGCACGTACGGTTAGTCTATACGTTTGTGGACAAATAGTCTTCTCACTTTTATTTTTGTAGTTTTCTCTCTGTACGCTATGACAGAGGATTTAAAATAAATAAAAATGTAATTAAAGTACAAAATCCCAGCTTTATTTCAGTGGAATTGACAAAAATATTGCATCAACTGTTTGTGAATTATAGGCTTGAGGCTTGAAAGTAACTGGACAAGCTAAACAAGTCAATGGCCCATGCATATCTGCAAATGTTGTGTGTTCTCCTTTGAGAAGTAACCTTAGACCCTGATGCTAGCATCGTGTTACATCTGTGGTGTTGTGTGCTCTGTATAAATTGCTTTTTAAAAAGTTTTACTAAGGCTTTGCTTGTATCTGTGGGTATTTTTTGACATACAATTACTTGATACCAGAAAAATCTCTCAGCTTCATAGCTTTCACAGACCAGCATGCATTTCATCTGTTTTTACAGCTAAAATGCTGCATGAGTTGTTTTTACACTAAAAACTGAGCTGAGCTCCTCTTAGCTTAAATATGTTTTTGGATATTTGACCTGAAGTTAAAACTAAATAGGCAGCTGATATGAATCTCATTACACCCACTAAAACATCTTTTTTTAACCTTTTTGGGTTTAGTAGTTTACCTCCTGGCAAGTTCTTTTTTAGAGGTATACTTCTTATACGGTGAGATCGAATAAAGATCGAAGACATCAGTCTGTGTTTTTTTTTTCTCTGCATGCATCAGCTCCACAACCTGTTATTTTATTTAACAGTTACCAAATTCCTAAGTTAACTCAAACAAATGAGACTGCAGAGCACATTTTTCTTCTGCTGCAACCACTCATCGGCTGCTCCCCACACCCTCGTTTTTCTCAGCAAAGGGACAGGTTAACCAAAACAAACGAGTCTCCAGTGCCTCAGAAAGTAGGAAGCAAAGTTGATGAAGGGGAGGAATTGCAGAAGCCTAAAGCTTCTGATGCTTCATCGCTCATGCACCATAGCGCCATGTGGGAAGAGCCGCAGGTGGCTGCCAATGATGGATACCGAAGTCACAGTATAATCTTTCACCCTTTCAAAAATAGTTTGAGAGGCAGGCTGTCAAAGGGGCACTGCAAGGCAGAGCTTCTCCGCCTGCTGCAGAAATTTAATGTCGATTCATGACTGCGTCTGGGGACGATGGTGCAAAATTGAAATCTCAGTCATGGTGGCGACCAGCTGACAGAGTGGTTATTGTACAGCTTATCAGCGGGGAAGTGAAAGGGAGGGATTTGCCGCTCTCTGTGGGGAATATTGCCCTCCATCAAAATGGTAGAAGGGAAACAGCTGACATCAACACCCGAGACCAAGCCCACTGCAGATTTTCACCTTCCGCAACCCTGAAAGCAGAAAAACAAGAAGACTTTCAAAGTTTCGGCAGCGCTTTCCTCACCGCAGCGATTTAACAAACAATCATTCAGTGAGGAAATTTGATTGAGGAGGATATGGAAATGTGATTCCTTGAGTGCAGGGTGGCATTTATTTTCTCTTGGCCTTTTGCTCTGAGGCATATTTATAGAGGAGCTAACTCAATTGCGAGAGCGAGGAAATCAAGACGGCCATTTTTCACACCACAATAAGATTAGTGCAACATGAAGGCGATTACACAGGATGCTTATAATTTGCAGCAACAGGGCGCTGATTCAATACAGCCATTATCACCCCAAGGGCATTGCTGTCGCTATTTAGAAAAAAAAATAGGCAACTCATTAAATGTTGTAGATTCCAAATGATTCAGACATCTCAAGGTCTCAGCTGCTATGGATTTACTATAAAGATCTTTGAGCTATGACTGCTGCACAAAGAGTCTTCTCCTTCAGTGCAGTTATGGGAGTCTTCTTTAGCAAACACCAGTTTG